ACACTCTCTCTCTCTCTCTCTCTCTCTCTATATATATATATATATATATATATATGTACATATATATATATATACACACACTCCTAGACTATATACACACATATATATATACACATACACAGAAACACACACATATATGTTTATGTGTGTGTGTATATATAGTGTATGTGTGTATGTGACTCTGTACGTATGTGTATGTGTGTGTATAACTGGGAGACAAGTTGGTTTCCATTTCTTACAATGGGGAAACAGAGGCCTTTTCAGAACCTGATGATATCAAAGGGAAACATGGATAACATGGGGCAAGGTCCCTCAAAGTCGGCAATGACACACCACATCTACCATGGATGCAGTACAAGGGAGACACGCATGTCTAAAGCAGGTGGGGACTCAGAGCCCTGGTTTTACTACTTGCCAGAGACCTGCACCAAGGATAATTGTTTAGCTTTCTCCTGCCCAGTGTCCCCTCTGCCATGCATTGCTCTCGAAGGGCTACTATGAGAACTAAATGAACCACTCTCATGTTGTATGAACATGTTGAACTGAATAGTGTGATTGTTCAACATTTGTGACACCCTTTAGCCCTTAAAAACACACAAGGGTGGGCTGGCAGGTTGCGTGTGGTTAAGGTGCTGGACTCTCCCATGGCCAACTGTGGTTCAAGTCCTGGCCCTGGTGCCTTGCTTTTTCACTTTCCCTCTCTCTGACTCCCTGAGCTGTGATTTCTTATTTTCCCTCTCTTGGTCTCTCCCCAGTGAATGCATGTGCCCTATGGCAAAAACGAAAAAAAAAAAAAAAGAAGGAAGAAAACCACAGGGACAAAATATAATTTTGTCAGCAATAATTGTTCACAAATACAGTGATTCTCAAGTGTAGGTAGTATCTCCAGACATATGAAAAAAACCTTATATGTTTCTGAGGCTTGATATCTCTCTATTATGGGAGAAGGATCATGTTTTGGGGGAGCCTGTACTTCCTTTGGAAAATACTTGCTGTCACATTTAAAAAATACTGTCTTAAAAAGGAATATCTGCCTTGGGAATTGGTACAACAAAACTATTTCTACAGAAACTGTTAAGTTGTCTCTGATTGTTGTCTTCAGCTGTTGACACCCTATAAGGTGAGTCACAAGTAGTCATTCCATAATTCAGAACCAAAATATAGTCATTAAATTATAAAGTATCCCCCAGGGTGTTCACACATTGAAATCAGCCAGAACCTTCCTCCATGGACTCTGCTTCCTCTTTCTTCCCCAGGACAGGCTCATGGAAGTGGAGAACTGCTCAGCAGTGACTGAGTTCATCCTGTTGGGAATCCCACACACGGAGGGGCTGGACACTATACTTTTTGTGCTGTTCTTGCCCTTTTATGCCTGCACGCTGCTGGGGAATGTGTCCATCCTTGTGGCTGTTATTTCTTCTGCTCGCCTTCACAAACCCATGTACTTCCTGGTGTACTTGGTGTTTGATATTGGGTTCTCCTCTGTGACCTGTCCCAAAATGCTGCTCTACCTCATGGGTTGGAGCCGACTCATCTCTTACAAAGACTGTGTCTCCCAGCTTTTCTTCTTCCACTTCCTTGGGAGCATTGAGTGCTTCCTGTATACTGTGATGGCCTATGACCGCTTCACTGCCATCTGCTACCCGCTGCGGTACACTGTCATCATGAATCCTCGAGTATGCATGGCCCTGGCTGCAGGCACATGGCTGTTAGGGTGCATCCACTCCAGTGTCTTGACATCCCTCACCTTCATCTTGCCCTATTCCTGGCTGCAGGCACGTGGCTGTTAGGGTGCATCCACTCCAGTGTCTTGACATCCCTCACCTTCATCTTGCCCTATTGTGGTCCCAATGAAGTGGCTCACTTCTTCTGTGACATCCCAGCCCTCCTGCCCTTGGCCTGTGGTGACACATCTTTGGCTCAGAGGGTGAGTTTCACTAATGTTGGCCTAGTGTCGCTCGTCTGCTTCCTTCTGATCCTCGTCTCCTACACTCGAATCACGGTCTCCATCTTGAGCATCCGTACAACTGAGGGAAGACGCCGTGCCTTCTCCACTTGCAGCGCCCACCTTGTTGCCATACTCTGTGCCTATGGGCCCATCATCACCGTCTACCTGAAGCCCACACCCAGCCCCATGCTGGGAACTGTAGTTCAGATTCTGATGAATCTGGTTGGACCAATGCTGAATCCTGTGATCTACACCCTGAGGAACAAGGAAGTGCAAACAGCCCTGAAAACAATACTGCCCAGGACAGCCCAGGTCCCCGACAGTTCATAAGAGCCAGTGGAGGGGTGTGTGTCCCTGCAGTTCTTACTGCCGTGACAGGTGAAACTCCATTCTGAAATCCTCACATGTAACAATAACTTGGAATTTTTAGCATATGCTAATTGGTGTGGACTACTACAGAATAATAAAGTCATGCATTTTCTGGTATTATCTAAGTACTGCCTTTCTATCCATCTTTAAAATATCAATAGTAGAATCTTGGATGTTATTTTTGCCTTTCTTCAGTGGAAAATCACCTGCTCCTGGAAGGAAGGTATATATTGCACCATTTTGCACAATTTTATGTGTTTACTCTCCTCCATTCTCTGTGTGAGACAAGCTTATGGGGAAAGGTAGTAAATAGAAAAAAAGAGATTTTAATAAATTGAGGCAATAATAGAGCTTTCTTTTAATAGTAACAGACTAAATGTTAGAGTTAAGGTAATGTGCTTTTTTCTTCCTTCCCAACCATCTGGAGAGAAAATAATGTAGAGTTTGTCAGAAAAGTTGTGTTTTCTTCAATCCCAAATTTGGTTTTATCCTAATTTCTCTCCTCACAGATTTTCAGGCAAATAGGGTTGGTCCCAATGTGGTAGGCAGTTAGCCGTGAGCAGGCAGCCCTAAGAGAAAAGTGAAAGGCTCATCTAGCTCCAGGTGCCAGGAGGGTGAGGCAAGTTGCCATCTTCCTTCCTTGAGGCCTGAGGGAAGTACACGGGGATAATTCGTAAATTTTTCTCTTATCAAAAAGACCTAAGCAAGCGTTTTTGGTCAATGCCCCAATTCCTATTAGGGCAATAGACTAACTGGGCAGTCTAATTGGGGCAACCTGGCTCACATTGGGCACCATGCACAATTAGGTGATCAAATTCCTCATTGTTTACCTGTGAGAAAGATGCACAGGTGCAGGAAAAGAGCGTATGGATTCTAATTTAAAGGAAGAACATAGGCAATGTAAGAGGGGCCTCCCACTAATGAATATTCATGACTTCTAGTAATAAAAATAACGGTTAACTAGTACCAAGCGCGGTTGCCACTTGGCAATCTGCCCACCCAACAACTTTTTTGGGTGTACTTTCTTTCTTTCCTTTCCTTTCTTTCTATTAAATCTTTTTTTCTACCTACTTCATTGGTGGTTGCAGTTTCATTTTGCGCCTAGGGACAGATCTCTAATTTTAGTGATCTGGACTCAAAGAACCAAGGATTTCACAATGCAGCTCAACACTTTCCCATCCATTAACACCAATTGCTCAAGGAAAGCAGAATGCAGGGTGACTGCTGTCACAGAACTGTGTCTGTTTCCACCTCGTGCCCAGCCAGCCCTGTGACTATCAGTATGATGAAACAGCAGTTTTCAGATCAGCTTGTGGGACAGGGCCAGAGGCTTTCCGAGCATCACTCGAGGATCCATGGGCTCCAGTCAATTTATTGCAAGGCTTCTGTGGTATAGTTCATGAGAATCTCCCTTTTATCTAGCTTATGCACTTCATTTCTGGCCGACATTTCAGTTGAAAAAGTTTAAAATCCTCCAGATTATCTGATATCCATGGTAACTTCTAAAACTAAAATTTGCATGTGTATTGTGTTTTTCTACCCCCGACTTTAAAGGTGTTGCTGCCTTTTCTTCAATACCTAAGCCTTGACCTCACCTCTGACTGCACTTGGGCTTGCCAGACTCTGTCAAAGCTCTAAGGTTCATTCTATTACCTGCCAAACAATTTGGCTCTTCAAAAACAAAACAAACCAAAAAACTGTAAAGGGAAGATGTATGATTGCACCTGGCTCACATGGCCTCATTGTTGGTCTCATTTTACCCCTCTCCCTGTAGAGGTAGACCAGGAACCTGAACCTGTCACCTTCCATAGAATCCAGCATAACTCAAGCAGTCTGTTCCCACCACCCCACCAAGCTGGCCCCCAAGGCAACCTTTGATGTGTATGTTACTGTCCCATCTTATTGCTTAGTCTCTGGGACTTAGAGAAAATGAACGTATTTCTCCAGATCATACAGGTAGATGGAATAGAGCCAAAATATGAATCCAAGACTTTTAAACATTAAGAAATTGCTTCCAAAATGCTTAGGAATCTTTCCAGTTAAGAAGAAATGAGGTACAAAGAGGGAGCACTTAACATCATTCACGCCAGTCCAGAAAGCATAAAGTACTAAGATCTTTTCTTTAAGCCTTATGAAGGAGATTGGCACCAAGGGGGCCTGAGGCATGTCCAACTCTGGGAAGCAAGTGGCCTAGGCATTAAAGACTAACCCACAATAAGTTCTGGTGGGACATACTAGGCAGGATTCTCCACAAAGAAACAAGAAGGATATATTATAAAACTTTTATAAAGTTTTGTTTATTTTTTTTTAATTCCATGAGTGAGAGAAAAATAGCACACACATGAGTGGAGAGAAGAGAGCATCCTAACAGGGTCTAGATGCCACCAGGATCAGAGTTTTGCCTCGTTCTCTGTCTCCTTTGGATAAGAAGGGGCAGAAACCATAGCAGAAGGCACTGGAATCTCTGATTGGATAATCAGGGTCAGCTGGAAATAGCAGAGATGACTGAAGGTAAAATACAGTCAGTGCTGGAGAGAAAGCCCTGCTCCCCTCCACACACCTGTGTCTCTAACACCTGTACGCTCCAGCCCTCTTGTTAGGACATTTCCCAGATCATGTAAGAAGCTAATTGTGGATTTCTTATTACTGATTCTTCACCTGACCTGGGCCATTACCCTTGGGTCCAGGCTCACAATCCTCCCCCTGAGCCACACTCTTGGTTTGAAGCTAGCCTGAAGAAGTCACCATCTGAGGTTCCTCAGAAACATCCTCCTTAGGGTGGATGCCTTTGCTCTTACTGGCCAAGACAGAATCCCACAAGATCTGGGAGCCTCTGACACCTCAGGATGGCTTCAAATGTAACTCAGGGCCTCAGAGAGAGAATCAAGGGCTGCATTTTGCATCTCCTCGCTATACGTGCCTCTTGTTATCATTTTAAGACCAAATTAACAAAGATGAAATATCACACTCACTTTTAAAGGAGTACTAATACATTAGCACAAAATCTTTTTGAAATATTTATTTTGTCAGTGAGACAGAGACAGAGAGACACCCACAGGACCTAACACCCAGTTCACCCCCATCCTCAGCCAACCCAGATCATGGGGACATGTGTTCATGGTGTATTGTAAAATGTGTAAAAGTCACAACAGACCTTTTCTGTGTGGATCAGCATACACAAACTGTATTCAAAGTCATACCCTTCTCCTGTGGGTCTACTCGAGAATACTATATTTTACTGCTTTCCTTTATTTTAATTTTTTCTAGCTGACTTATCTAAATCTGATTTTACTTACGCTTATTCATATAACAGTCTAATTTTGATCTCATTTTTAAAAATAGATGCTCTCAGAATTTTATTTATTATTTTTAAAAAGTTTCTTAAGGGACTTGCAGATGGTATAATAATAATAAATAAAAAATAAATAATTATTTTAAACAAAAGTTCCTTAGTAGTAAGGGACTTTCTTTTAATAGTGTACTATCACCAGAGTTAAAATATGTATTTAACATATTTCTTCCAATATGTTTTAAAGTTATACTTCCTATACAGATCTGTCTGAAGTTGTTTTCCGTCACAACAGAAAAGTTCTTTTAAGTTCGCTGCTGTTTCAGCTTCGTCGAGTGACACTCTATACTTCAACCCTTCTACCTCCTTATTTCTTAATTAGAAACACGAGTTTCTTTGGCAATATCTACTTTGCTCCTCCTTTAAGTTGAGGTGTTAGTTTTAGACAATAAAGCAATTAATTTCACCAAGAAAAATCAGGGCTAGCAACTCCCAGAGATTCTCTCACTTTGTCTCCATAGTTGTTTCCACACAATTTGAAAATTCTTAAAATATTAATATTTAAATATTTAACAAAATGAAATGTTTATAAGACATGTATATTCAGTTTGTTAAAGGATTTCTTCCTGAATTCCTGATTCAGAGACTCTGGGAGGCCTGAGGCCTGACAGTTTATGATGGCAGCAAAGAGTGCCAATGTTTATTAAAGAGAATTCAGACAGGAATATTCTTACTATTATGAAGTTTTTAATATTTTTAAAAAATTTCTTCCACAAATGAGAGAAAAACAAAGTACTCACAGAGAAAGAGAGAGAGAGAGAGAGAGAGAGAAAGCAAGAGAGGAGAGCATCCCTAACAGGGTCTAGGTGCCATGATCCACTCCCATCCTCAGCCAGGACCAGGTCATGGATGTGTGTGTACCTGGCGTGTTCTGGGTGGTCTCCAGACACAACGCACCCTTCCTGTGTGGACTAGCCTCACAGAGCATTGCATTTTATCTCTGTGCCCGATCTGGTCCCTAATATTCTCCCTATTACAATAAAGCAAGGAAGAGGAACTCAAATACCTTGAATCAAACTTTAACTTTCCATAAAGGCTCACTCTCTGTGGTGATGTGGGGTGCCTTGGTTCAACCACTGATCCCCAAGGACACTGCTCCTGCACTCTCTGGGCCCACACAACAACCTCCTCCAGGACTGGGAGTGCTCCAGGACTTGAACCACTATTGGCCATGTGGAGGTCCAGCACTTTTATCCACCACTCCACCTGCCAGTCCCAGAAGGTATTTTTTATTGCACCATTTTGCACAATTTTATGTGTTTACTCTCCTCCATTCTCTGTGTGAGACAAGCTTATGGGGAAAGGTAGTAAATAGAAAAAAAGAGATTTTAATAAATTGAGGCAATAATAGAGCTTTCTTTTAATAGTAACAGACTAAATGTTAGAGTTAAGGTAATGTGCTTTTTTCTTCCTTCCCAACCATCTGGAGAGAAAATAATGTAGAGTTTGTCAGAAAAGTTGTGTTTTCTTCAATCCCAAATTTGGTTTTATCCTAATTTCTCTCCTCACAGATTTTCAGGCAAATAGGGTTGGTCCCAATGTGGTAGGCAGTTAGCCGTGAGCAGGCAGCCCTAAGAGAAAAGTGAAAGGCTCATCTAGCTCCAGGTGCCAG